GCCTAGGTGATTGGAAGCACGTTCTCCTCCACCCCCACCCGCAATCTTCTGGGACACATGACAGGCCTTGTAGACTGCAGGACCATTCACAAATCATAGCACTGCTCGTGCATGCGCAGTGGGCACCTGGCTGTGAAGTCCGCAAGCTAATGAGGACCGAGGACAGCTGGTAAACCTGGCTGCGGTGAACACACAGCTGTATCAAGGGACAGGTAAATGGCTATTTTTTAAAAGTCAGCAGCTACAGTTTTTGTAGCGTGTTTTTTTGCCTATTACATGTACATGTGCTCATTTGTAGTGCAGCACAGTGAGTTGATCTTTAATCTATTTATAGATAGCTGTACAAATATAGATTTCTAACGGTAGAAAAGCTATTGGTTAAGAAAAAATATCAAAGCACTTTGTCTTCTAAAGGTCCTGAGCTAATTGGATAACATGGGTTTACTGTCTTGGAAACGCAGAACAGTGTGCAAGTAACAAACAATTTCAGTAAAACTTTAGAAAAGAAGATACATTTTTTTTTTTTTTTTTTTTCAGTTTTGGACACAGTCAGGGAAGATTTAACCACTGCCTTTTTGCCATGTGTCCCATTGGGGAGTTTTACCTTCACTTCTTGTGCCATAACCAAAACAGGAAGTGAGGGAATCCCTGGTTGTCACCAGAACTAGTGTCTCCACTGAAAGATTTCCCCTCTCTCTATTCCTTTTCTAGTGACCATACAAAATGTATGTAGGATTTTAGTTCACTGTCAGTGAGAACCGTAAACAGGACAAATAGGGTGACGCTCACTAATAGGCAGTAAAAATCTTGACAGTGGTTCTAACCCATCTTTAATCTATACAATCTAAAAAGAAAAAATTTTTTTTTTTTCCTTTTTAGTTATACTTTACTATCCATAAAAACACCTTTCCAGACATTAAATGATGGAATCCCTTGAACGGTATTTGAAATGTACAAAAGTCCAGTACTTAACTGAACAACATGTGAGGAAGTGGCTGTCTTGCCAATAACAACGTGGCTGCTTTTCTCTTTTAATGTACAAGTTAGAAAATGCAAGTAAGAATTTGGCTGTTTTGCATTACCTGGTTCTTCTTTATAATTTTTCATGTTGTCCAGTGGTTGGTAACATTGACTGGATTGCTTTGTGCAGGCCAAAATATAGGTTGGGCTAAAACTACTATGCAAAGTAGGAGCCGGGGAATTGCCACACTCACATGCCACTCGCATGGGTTTTGTGAGATACAGTAGGCTTCTTAAAGCAGGTTAGGCAGTTGGGTACATTGTTTAACATTAAAAGAATATTTTCGATGAAAAAATGTTCAAAAACTTTTATTTCTCTACAGTGGAAGTATATGTTCCGCCATGTGTGTCTACCCCAGAATTCATCCATGCTGCCATGAGGCCCGATGTTATTACAGAAACTGTGGTGGAAGTGTCCACTGAAGACTCTGAACCAATGGATGCTTCTCCCATTCCAATATCTCTTGAGCTTGGAGAGCCAATGAAAAAAAAGAAAGGTAGTATTTGTTTTCTGTCTCCTCTAAACCATGTTGTCCAAAAGACTGTTATTTTTATTTCTCTTGTGAAAGGTTTAATATGCATTTTAACAGGAAAACTGTAATAAGATAAATAGGGGAGCGGGTTACAAGTATTCAGAACTAATCGTGAATGCTTACCAGCAATGCAGCCATGGAAGTCACCTGTCAGAACACAAAGGCACAGCGGGGGAGATCGCCTAACTAACATCGCTAGCGTTCGTGTGGGAATCTCTGTTTTCTTTTTTGTTCAGCCGGCTAGGTTGAATCCCAAAAAAAAAAAAAAAAAAAACCTATAGTGTGTGTCCAGCTTAAGAATTTGCTGGAAGATCAGTGCCATTGCACTCGCCTATGCTTTGCATATACAGTCATGAGTATATTTTTGAGTTTTGAAAATTACAACACTGTTTTCATTATAAAAGTTAATCAAACCTTGCACTTTTGGTGCAAGGTCCACTTAAGTGTCACACATTCGAGAGCAGCAGCAATTTAAAGGTAATTGTAAAGGATTTAGTACCTCGTTAGGGTCCATGCATATTAGCTTTAAAAAAAAACCGCTGCTTCTAGAGGAGTTTAGTGTTTGCCTGTAGAAGCAACTAATGTTATCCTATGTCTCTATGCACATTAGGACGTGTAGAGGCATATTTTAAGCTCGGCGATTAGAAGCAAAAAAAAACCCCTTCTGTTTTGCATTTTTGAGAACAGTTTTCCAGCATAGAAAAAAAAAAACTCTAAATGCTAGTACAAAAATGCTCAAAATGAGTGGGTTTTATTTCCCTTTTTTTGTGCTGAAAGCACTGTCTTTTTTTTTTTTTTTTTTTTTTTTTTTTTTTTTTTCTTTTTCTTTTTCTTCAGTGTGCATGGACCCTTAAACTTGCATACAAAAAAATAGTTTTAGAATTGATTTTTTTTTGTTGTTGTTGTTTGAAACTTATTTACATGTGACATTTTATGTCCCATTGTACAGCTGGTCGCAAACCAAAGGTGCAGCAGCCCACATTTGCCAATGGCTCCCCAGATTTGGGTATAAAGAAGAAACCAAGAGAAGGCAAAGGTAATATACAATCTCTCTCCCTATCGGTATCAGTTATTTGAGACCAGACCTATTACTGAATATTCCATGAGCATAAATTTAATAAATGTGACAGTATTAAGTTATTTTAAATACCTTTTATCTGGCAATCAGAATATTTTCTACACCCTTTTTACTCCTACACACTTGGATTATCATACTTACTGAAGTAGATAAAGATTCCAGGTGACAAATTGAAATATTGTGATGCCAAATGCATAAAACAAGTCATGTTTTTTTTTTTTTTTTTTTCTTTTTCAGTCTATTCTTCCCTCATACTATTTAGTTGTATGGTTAAATAGCTGTTCATGGGTGATTGTTATCTTTTTATATTTTTTTCAAAGGATAAGTTCACTTTTGGGAACATGTTACATGTTCCACCCATTTTTTAGGGTGGAACATGTAACATGTTCACAATGCTGCAGCCACTGCCCAATTTTTTATTTTTTATTTTATTCCCCTGCCATGACTAAAGTACGGGGAGAAGTTCCCCCTATTATCTGTCAGATTTGAAAATAGCATGGCCATGAGGCATTCCGCCAACACAGCTGCATCATTCATTCAGAGTTCCACAAATAATTGAACTAACTGCAAGTCCTGGCAGCCTAGCTATTGGCTTGTAGTTTTCAATGAACTACCACGTCGCTGTGGAGCACCGTGGTAGTTCATTAATTTTTCCTGTCCGTATATACCTCTTGTATGAGCAAGCAGATATACTGACAGATCTGCAGGAGACCTACATGGCACCAGGGATCTGCTGATCACTGGTGCAATGTTTTACAGGCTCGTGCAGAAAAAATAATTAACAATAAATGTGCTTTTTTTTTTTTTTAAGTGCATTTATTTTTTTTGTGCAAAAGGTGAACTTATCCTTTAAACTAGTTTCCGCTAGTGGTGCACCAAAACCGAAAATTCAGGATTAACTTAGCCAAAAACCGAAATGGACATTTTTTTCTTTTTTAAATTAATTTATTTTTCAAATGCAATTTTTTTTGAAAAAAAATACGCTTTAATGATTAAAGAAAACACAATATATACCTCCGATATTTTTGTAAAATATGAAAGATTATTATTACTATAATACAGGATTTATATAGCGCCAACCGTTTGCTCAGCGCTTTACAATATAAAGGGAGACAAAACTGCAACAATACAGTTCAATACAAGAGTGTTAGGAGGGCCCTGCTCCTTGTAGCTTACAATCTAAGAAAGATGATGTTATACTGAGTAAATAGATACCCAACATGTCATTCTTTGAATTGCAAACGCTCGTAGAATGGCGTCAAACTCTGGTGCTTAAAAATCTCCATGGGTGACACTTTAAACATTTCTACAGGTTACCATTGTAAAGTTACAGAGGAGGTGTAGTGCTAGAATTATTGCTCTTACGTTCGTGGTGATACCTCACGTGTGGTTTGAACACAGTTTACATATGTGGGCGTGGCCTACGTATGCATTTACCACTACATGCGAGGACGGGGGGCACTTTAAACCCTTTTTTTTTTTTTTTTTTTTTTTTTTTTTTTTTTTTTTTTTTTTTTTTTTTTTCCTTCAATTTATTTATTTTTACAATGTCCCTTTTAAAAAAAAAAAATTGTAATCACTTTTATTCCTATCACAAGGAATGCATGCATCCCTTGTGATAGAAATAAGCAGTGACAGGTCCTCTTTATGGAGAGATATTGGGGTCAATAAGACCCCCACATCTCTCCTCTACAAGGTAACGCATTAGATCAGCAAAAGCATTGATCTAGTGCTTTAAAATAAAAAAACAACGTCCTTGTTCACGAGGTGCCGGAACTGATGTCACTCCGGTCCTCCAAGGGCATAGAGATGAGTGGAGGCCATCTTTCCTTCACTTATCTCTATGCCCAGCATTGGGATCGTTTGGTTTCAGTTGCATTATACTATGCTTGACAGAACATGTAGTATTCTCTAAATAAAGTGTACCAGCCCAATATCCTTAAATACAGCCATTAGGGGGTTATGTTGTGCATAGTTTTGTGCGTTATTCACTGTGATATTCCTATGTTTTGTCCACTTAAAACTAATCCGTTTTAAAAGCTGTATATTTTGACTTCTTGGGTCACTAGGTCTGTCTAGTTTACTGATTGCAGTCACATAATGTAATGTTTCACTTAGGTGAAGCTCTTAGCAAAACTATTTTTTTTTTTTTTTTTGGTAGGGTGGGGATTGGTGAGAACCTCTCTCAGGTTTTTGTTTGTCCCTTGGGGTATCTTAAAGCAGGCCACTGACAGAAATTCTAACATCCTTGCTTTACTGCAAAACAAAAACGTGGTTTTTAGTTTGTGACGGTTGTATGCAAAATTCGGATGTGAATTTGAAAGAAAAATAATTGCACAAAAAAACCTAAAAATATTTTTATTTTCTTTATGTTGGACATATTTATTTATTTATTTTTTAGTGATTATAACTACAATTCATATTTTAATGTGTTCCTTTTAGGAAATACAACTTATCTCTGGGAGTTCCTGTTAGACCTTCTGCAGGATAAGAACACTTGCCCTAGATATATCAAGTGGACGCAAAGGGAGAAGGGCATCTTTAAGCTGGTGGACTCTAAAGCTGTTTCAAAACTTTGGGGGAAACACAAGAACAAACCTGACATGAATTATGAGACTATGGGACGAGCCTTAAGGTAACTGAGCAAGCAGGCTGTAGCTTTTTAACATCTTGTGTGTCACATTTGTTGTAAAAAGAACATTCTTGTCCGCTATAATACTACAAAGTGATTACAAACCAGGATTAATAATAATCATGAATCTAAGTAATTTTCTACTCAGAGCTTATTTTAAAGCTAATCTCCAGGTTTCCTGTGACTTAGTTCGTTTGGACAAAGCTGGTTCAAATAAACTATTTCCTTTACAAAGAGCTGCACTAGCTGTAGGCACTGTATGTAGCTTCAGCTACTCTTTCTGTCTCATATCAGGAACAAAACAAAGTCTGTCCGAGGGGCGCTCATCCATTCATATGCAGCTTTGTATTCTGTGAATCAATACAGATCTTCTGATTGGCTGAAACGGAGAGGCAGGCTGATGTCACGCTCTTCCACTCAGCTCAGCTGCCTATGATTGGCTGAGTGCCTCCCAGACTGACTGTTTTGTTCCAGGTGTGAGACAGAAAGACAGCCCGAAAACAGAACTGTGTACTGTATGTAGTTGGAGCTACATTCAGTGTTTAGTCAGTGCAGCACTTTGTGAAGGAAATTGTTTGGACCGGCTCGGTCCAGATAAACTATTTAAAGTCTCAAGAAACCCAGAGATCAGCTTGTAAGCGTTTATCAGTCAATAAACATTAAAGGAAACATACAACAGCTTTGTATAGTAGAAAAAACACTTGTAATTTCCCGAGGTAGTGAGTGGTCAGTGCACTGGCTTGTAGTGTGTCCTGTTAGCACCTGAGCAAACATGAAAGAAATCCAGCTGCTCGATCTTCTGCAATAAATACGTTTATTAATCCAGGTGTGGTACAAACTAATACAGGCCTTACGTTTTTCAGCGTGTAGCCTTAGTCATGACCATGAAGATGCGCAAGCCCTGTATTATTTCTGCCGGCTTTCTTTTATCTACATACAGCAGATTTGTACAGATTTTATTTATTGCCCAGTCAAAAAATGCTATTTTGTATTTATCAAGCAAACATGAAATATTTCTTGTGTATAGTATGCAGTCTTCTATTCCTCCAGCAGGTGGACCGTCCAGTTTTTACAACTGACACATTGTAATGCTCTCAACTCAAAAGCCTTTGGTCATTTTAGTCATCACAGCATTGACTAACCTTTATTAGATGGCGAAGTGTGAGTTTTTAATCAGAAAACGAGCAACATATAAATCGGCTGTGCTATCTCTTCAGATAACTCATAGTGCTCTGGAAATCCTTTATGTATTTAAATATTTCTAAAACTCTAGATTTAGCACAGTAAAAAAAAAAGTCTACAGTACATGCCTTCACACCAGTGAAACTACATCCGCAAGCTTCATCTACACCGCTGACAACTTCACCCAGTCTTCTTCCAAGTTTAGCAACCATCTTTGGTTACTGGAATAGAATGATGTAACTCCTGCTCATATGCTCATGAGTTAATTCATTCCCTGACAAAAACTTGTTGAGATTGTACACTGAGCATGGTATCTTCAGTGACTTGCTATGCAAAAGCTTTCATTGCTGAAGAGATATGGTCAGTTCTGCGACAGAAGCCTGCCTGCTAGCAGTTTTGTTTTTTTTTTTTTTCCCCCCCCCCCCCCCCCAGCTAAAGGTGTAATTTATATCGACTAAAAAAGGTAGATTTTTTTTTTTTCATTACATGTTTTTTGTATATTTAATGAAAGCTCTAAAGTATAGATATTTTTCTGTATTTTTGTAGGTATTACTATCAAAGAGGGATTCTAGCAAAGGTGGAAGGTCAGCGACTGGTGTACCAATTCAAGGAGATGCCCAAGAACATAGTGGTTATAGAAGATGAGAAGACTGAATCCTGTGTGGAAGAGCTGGTGTCTTCTGCAGACGACAAGTCTCTAGAACGTGTATCTATGCCCACTGATGGAATTCTTAAAATGACAATGCCGTCTCGGCTGGAAAAAATCCCTACCCAGCAGAACTCACCCAGGAAGCCTCGATTCGTCAGCTTGGCTTCTCCTGGATACGAGGCATCTCCTAATTCTCCTACCAGCACAACACCAACCCCGACGCAGAGGTCAGTCTTTAAATTCTGCTGTTGGCCATTCTTTTTTGTTCTTGTGAAAAAGTTGCTCCACATGGACTGATAATTTTCCAGGGCACACCCTTCCTTTTGGTTTTATAATTTTCTGTGCTATCCTAGCCATACGTTAATTTTTTTTTTTGTATTTTGTTTTTGTATTGAAATGCATGCATTGTAGGGCAAATGGCACAGTTCGAGTGCACCACTTCTTACACACCTGTTGGTAATGTCTGGAATTGAGCAATCAAAAACTATACTGCTTATGGCCCATATTGAAAGCCATTTACAACAACTGTCATCAGCTGTCATCCAACAACTATAATCTGAGCTTTAATTTATCTGTGAACTACAAAAGCATGACTGACATATGACCTCATGCATACGGTTTTCCATCTCTCCTAGATGCCTTTCCTCAGCATTTTGGCAGAAAAAATGATTGACGCTTGTAAACGTGTTTACGCATGTCAAATGCTTGGGTGTTCATTTCACTGACCACAATATTAATTTTATTATATATAACCTTTTTGTGATAATACAATAAATAAAATAAACTAAATTAAAACAAAGTGTTCAATAAAGATCACAAAAGTCCAAAAAACCAAAAGTGTCCAAAAAAATTACAATGTCCAAAAAGTCCCAAATTTTCAAACTTTTTCATCAAATAAAAGGATTGACTCCTATTCCATCCAGTAAGAACCTCAAAATAAAAAGATACGAAATCTAGTACATTACCATAATAAACTAAAGTAATCACCCAGTGCAACTCTCAATTTAGTGCAAAAAATATATATATATTTATATAATGAATAAATTATTCAAATCAAAAATGCTTTCTTATAGTGTGCATAATCACACAAATCAAACTGTGAACACTCAGTGGTCACTGCAACTCTGTGCACACCATCAACTAGCACACAATAGTACTAAATACTATTACCTTCTGTGAGTATTGAAAAGCTTTAACAATACTATGGATCAGAAATCCTCCATACTCTCTTCAAAGGCATTTTTCCAAGGTCCTCAGAAAGATAAGAATGGTCTCAGGACTGATATTCAAAGCATAGGGATAAATTTAATAATCACTTACATTTAAAACATAGACATTTCAGCTCCAGACATAGCTCTAGGCAAGTTCCACCAAACAATGTAGAAAACCAAGTGTGAATAACCGACAAAATGGCCGCGGGGGGACCTGGGGGAGTGACGTCAAGACGCACGCACGCAGACCGGAAGTGTCGCCGCGGCCATTTTGTCGGTTATCCACAAATGGTTTTCTACATTGTTTGGTCCAAAAATGCTTCTACATGCCTATAAGTATAAGTCTAGATCAGGGGTGGGCAAACTTTTTGACTTGAGGGCCGCAATGGGTTCATATATTGGACCCGGGGGCCGGACCAAGAGTAGATGAATGATGTGTATGTGTTATCCATAGTAAGTATAGTAATATTCCCCCATAGTAATTATCCCCCATATAGTAATTCATCCCCCATATAGTAATTCATCCCCCATATAGTAATTCATCCCCCATATAGTAATTCATCCCTCATAGTACTATTCCCCCCCAAGTAGTAAGCCAAGTCCCCCCTGTGTCAATTTACTTACCTTTGCTCCGCGCGTTCCTCTCGCCGTGTTCCCGCGCCGTTCCGGTCTTCAGGGCGGACTGTGAGAGGAGCCTAGCTCCCCTCACGTTCGTCACGCTGCCCCGCCTACACACATCCTGACAGTCAATGCATCGCGCTCCGCGGGCCGGATTAAAAGGTCCGCCGGGCCGTAGTTTGCCTATTGCTGGTCTAGATGCTTCTGCCTATCCAAAAAGAGAGTGCTTCCAAAATTGGGATCACACTGCAAGGGTTTTTTAAAACCCTTTTTAGCCGGTTACGATGGATGAGTGTGTATATATACTGCTAAACGGCGGCACAGGTGCGCAAAATCACGTGTGTGTGTGTATGTGTGTGTGTGTGTGTGTGTATATATATATATATATATATGTATATTATGTATGTGTGTGTGTGTGTGTGTGTGTGTATACACACAGACACACACACGATTTTGCATTTCCTGGTAGGGGGGCGCGCGCGAGAGAGCCCTAGCTGCGCCGCCATTACGACCGTGGATGTCAATCACCGGGTCCTGGCCTGTGATTACCCGCCGGCGCCCAGTGATTTATTGACGAGCACCGTTTGGGAGGAAGACTCTTTTGTTTACAAACAGTCTTCCCTGTCAGCTCGGGCACACTGCCATCCTGATCAGTGTGCTTACAGTGAAGCACCCCCCAGTAAAACACTCCCTACGCACAATTAACCATTTGATTGCCCCTCACATTAACCCCTTCCTGCCTACTGTCATTAGTACAATATCCGTGCTGTTTTTTAGCGCTGATCACTGTATTGGTGTCACTGGGGATGTTGGTGACACCAAGTTAGTTCCCCCCCCCCCCCCCCCCGTGTCAAAATGCCCACCGCAGTCCCCCTAAAAGTCGCTGATTGCCGCTATTACTAGTAGGAAAAAAAAAATCCCAGTATCTATACCGCCATTTGTAAACGCTATAACTTTCACATAAACCGATTTAAGTTACACGTATTGACGTAGCAAAATACATTTCAACCTAAATGTATGACGAAATTTTTGATTTTTAAATTTTTTTTACTGGACATGTTTAATAGCAAAAAGTCCAAAATGTTGTCTTTTTTTTTTTTTTTTTTTCCTCAAAATTATTGCCCTTTTTTTGCTTATAGCGCAAAAATGTAAAAACGTACAGGCGATCAAATACCACCGAAAGCTCAATTTGTGGGGATAAAAGATGTAAATTTAATTTGAGTGCAGCGTTGCATGACCACACAATTGTCAGTTAAAGGAACGCTGCGCCATAATGCAACAAATTTCCTGGTCAGGAAGGGGGGTAAATTCTCTGGAGGGCAAATGGTTAAAAACTTCTGTGTATAG